CTATGCTGCCGCTTGCAGAAGGCAATTGTGCACTGCCTCATAAAAGTAACAGTGTATTAAATTTCAAAAGTAATCAGTGAGTTCTTCTTCTCCTGACTAAAAGTTTGATTTCTTAACATGGTGGCATACTGTTGGAATATTTGTCTGAAGCTGGGTATTCATTTATATATAAACTAAGGGATGCTGATATCTTGGATATTACTTCCTCCTGCCTTGTGTCTGTGCCCTTCAGCACAAACGGAAGTTGTTGAATGAATTAGAGCAGTTCTCAACTAGCGATTCATCTGTTGCCCTGTCAAAAAATCAATTTAACAAGTGAATATATTGTGCATAGTTTATACCTGTCGTCTTAATAGGTTGGCATCAAGGATCAGACCGGTAGATGCGGCAGATATGAGAAGAGTGAATAGCAGGGGTTGGTCTGGTTGGTGACGGCCCAAATTGTTACCAGGTAAAAACGAGTTGAAACATTCTGCACATAATTTATACTTCCATTTTGTTTGTTCACCTCATTGGATTTGGTCGGTGTGCTTTGTGCTTTGATTTGGGGTGCAGCACCTACTAGTTTCTGTTACCACTATTTTGCGTCAACTATCTTAGGTGCCACCTGCACATAATATTCAAACACACCCTATAAGGCTTTATTTCCTTCTGGTATCCGTTGTGTATTATCTTCGTGATCACTGCATAATAAATGTACCCTTCCATAAGTATTTTTTCGTCCAGAGCTAATGATACCTCTGTGCTTTTTGTACACGTGCTAGCTAGTGCCTTGGTCGAGTTGGGTTTTTAACTGAAATGAAAAATTCAGCAGAACTTGATTCTGTTTTACCTGTGACCAAGTATCTACTTAGAAGTTATTCGATGAACCTTAGAGCAAATTGTGTGAATTCATATTGTCAAATGAAATTCAACTTGGCCTTCATCTGAACTATGCTGCATGGTGATGGGAGGGTTGCTGGTCCGTGACAATTTTCTTTTCTTTGTCAGATAGTGGCGTTAGCAGAGGCCAATGATGGCTTATTAAGAAACAATCCAGTGAAGGTCAGGGCTTCAACTGCGAGTTATTATACAGCATTCTCATGGTGCGTACGATGTGCGCTGCTTCGATAGCTTGCGGTTTCCTCCTGTGTAGATCGGATTTTGTCGATAAAGCTGATTTTTTTTTCCTGAGCGGGTGATCCTTGTTCTGTCAAGCGAAGCATCTTATTGCATTTAAATTTTGCAGTCGCCGTATTTGAGATCCGTCACTTTCTCAAGTTTTATAAATGTGTTTATTACTTTTTTCGTCCCGTCGAACGCTAACAGGGAGGGTTGGTTGTTCTTGGCGGACCCGGATCAACAAGTAGTTCAGGAATAAGATCGGCGAGAACTCTGACAGTAGTGAGTTCATCACTCAACGTAGTCGACTAGTCGTCTTCTAGCAGTTCAGTTTGACTCTATTTGAGGGACCCGCTTGCTTATTGCAATTCAGAATTGTGATAGGAATGGTGAAGTGGTTTTTAATGCTCTGCAGACATGGTAAATGGATTCACGTTTGCTAAGCAAGCGGGTCCCTCAATTCGGAATCGTGGACTCAATTGTGAAGTGGGTTTTAATTCACTGCAAATAAAATCGGCATCCAAGCACCAGTGGTCTAGTGGTAGAATAGTACCCTGCCCCGGGTTCGATTCCCGGCTGGTGCATTTTCTTCATTTTTTGTCCTTTTATTCTTGATGTTAAATCCTGTGGCCCTGCTATTTATTATTTCATTTTTTTCTTTTTGCTTTACCATTTCTGTATTTATCTTTCCTTCTTTAAATTAGGTCGGGATTTCCAAAATATCCAAATCAAGAAATTATAAAATTTTCGTGCTTTCAAAAAACTGTTCACATATTTTAAAATAGATAAATGTTTTTTCTTTAAAATAGAGAAATTAAAATGTTCATGATTTTGAAAAAGTGATTGTGTATTAAAAAGTATTCGGTAATTTGGTTTACAAAATGTCCATGAAATTTTAAATTTGTTCATAAAAATTAGAACAGATCCGTAAACAATGAATAAAACAGACAGTCGCTTACGTAGAGGTTTAATTAGGGGATCTGTAGAGGTCGTTTTATGATTTTATTTAGTCCCTCGTGCGTCAGGTAAGAAAAACGTTTCCATGTTCTATACAACGGGAGCCCCATAAAATATAAACAACTTTCTATGGGTTCGTTTTTGTAAACTATATTAAAATGACTAGATGTTTATTTTGCCTTCATACACAACTATGTTTATTCTGGTGCCATAGTTTTTACTGTTATGGAAACACCTCTATGCTAGGTCAAGGCGAGACACATCATTCATCAGTCTAGCTCAGGCATGGTCCCTCAATGCAATTTGCGCAGCCAAAAAATATTTTGTTGTGACGCCTTACGAAATCAAGACCATCACATTTTCAGTTTTTAAGATGACCTTTTAAAAGTCCCTTATCTCATCATAATATCATTCAGACATAGTTTGTGAAATGATATTTTAACATTCCTTATATCCTGACATTTGATTCGGACTTTTTTTTATCTCTACCACATCTGCATAATACGTTTGTTTTTCTTTCGTTGCAACACACGTGCATATTTGCTAGTATACATCAAAAGCAGAGGGAGAAGATTAGTGAGCGCGAAATCAATTTTTCTTCACCACAGATGCTATCATCACTTTCTGCCACCTACTCAAGGCCATTGTGCAAGCTTGAGAAAATTCCCCCCTGCTTTCTTTGATGTGATGGTGCACCTTGTTGTACATTTACCCAAAGAGGCGTTGCTCTGAGGTCCCGTGCAATATATGTACCCAATTGAAAGGCGATTGTATACTTTGAAGTGCTATGTGAGGAATAGGGCACGACCAGAAGGGTCAATTGCTGAGGCATATGTTGCTGATGAATGCCTGACATTTTGTTCCAAGTACATCAACGATGTTGAAACAAGATTTAACCGGGAGCCAAGAAATATTGGTTTTTCAGATGAAGAAGCCTATGCTGCTGATGTTTTCGGGCATGGAGTTAATTTTACTTCAGCGTATCAATATGTATATGTTGAAAATTAATCTGGTCAAATGGTGTGGTATGTGTTGAACAATTGTAGTCAAGCTGAGAAGTATATAGAGTATGTTCTCACTTCTGAATATGTGTATGTTACATTTGTGTTGTAAATATGTGATCTATTGATTGATTTTATTTTATCTCCAGAATGTTCAAGGGTGAGCTAGAGAGAGAAGGACTGAGAGAAGGACTGCCAAACATTGAAAGAAGGCCTCGGAAAGGATTCCAGACATGGTTTAGGAACTATGTTAGTTTTCATTCACATGTAATTAGAATTTTTGCTTATGAGATTTTCACTACAGATTCTAATGTACATGTTTGTGTGCGTTGTTGCAGATAATGACGTTGCGGAATGAGGATGCCAAAGAGGTTGACAAAGATCTCTTTGCCTTGGCATGTGGTCCTGATTCGAGAGTCAGGAAATACTCATCATGCATAATGAATGGCATTCGGTTTAGTACTGTTAACCTTGATAACAGTAGGAGAACACAAAATAGAGGAGTCACGTCTGAAGGTAGGCATGACAGGAAGGTCATTGACTTTTATGGAACCCTGAAAGAGATCATTCAGTTAGACTATAACTTGGATGACAGGTCGGTTGTTCTGTTTAAATGTGACTGGTTTAAGCTTGATGGGAAGAAGACTGAACCTCAAAATGATGGGGTTTTTTACAAGCATCAACGTGGGAAGTTTATGATACAAGGATGATTCTTTGATTCTGCCTACTCAGGCTAAAAAGGTCTTCTATTTGCCAGACACGAAGTTAGAGAAAAATTGGCAAGTTGTCCTAACATTCGATCAAAGAAAAAAACCTACATTGCACCAATGCACCTCTAACGATTTTATGGACCTCATGTGGTGGAAATCATTCTATTTATAGCTTGTCAGCTAGGGCGGATCCCACACTTGTCAGCCTCCAGGACCGTCTCCACCCAACACCGTCAAAGGAGAACACAAGCTCCAATATTCCCCAACCACAAGCCCCGACGAGTGAAAACCACCCTCTAGTAAGTGGGAGACGGTACGGTCTACATCAAACCTTATTGGACGTGGTGCATCTTCTTCCACCCCAACAACACCATCGACAAAACCTAACATAACTCTATTTATAGGACAAACACGAAAGAAGCGTACCCACTCGACATGCAACGGTAGAATGAGAGGCATCCAAAGGGAAACGAAAAGTTTGTAGCATCATCTATGATCAGGAAACTTCTTGTAATCGCCCAAAAAAGGCTACCTTAAATGCGTTTTCTTTTCCTTGTAAACATGTTCTAAATGAGTTTGAACAAAAAACATCATATGTCAAAAGATAACAGGAGAACAGAAAAGACCAATGGTTTGGTCACCGCCAGAATCACGCCAATCTTGTCTAGATACCCTAACCAAATGAGCGCGCCGTAGATTGCCTCGACAATGTGGGGAACGGTCTATAACAGGCTTTGTTGGAAGCGGCACAACCTCTTCCTCGCATCGACACCACTAATAAGCCATACCCTACCTGTATCTATGGGCTAGAAGAGATGGCAGGATTCCCCCTTCTCCATACACAAGAGCGGCAGACAGAAGAGAAGGAAACTCGCATGCCCTTCACATGAGCGGGCATCACAAGGAGAACAACAAGTTTATAGCATAATGGACCGGTACAACTTTGTAATAAATCATCAATAATTAATATAGATGAGTGAGTACCCGAGTATTTTTTTTCTTTTGTATAAAATTTGATCAAATTTTCATTTTATTTTGAGATCAAATGTGCTCCAAATGAGTTGAACAAAAATATTGCAAACATAACGAGAGAAAGGGCCCACTCCAGAGCCCCCACGAAAATCTTCTCCACGGTCCACGGATCCTCATTCCCTTCCTCAAAAAAAAAAAGCTCCTCATTCCCACACCAACGCGTTCCCCTTTACCTCGCCGCCGGCGCCGCCGCGCCGCCATGCTCTGCCTCCGCCTCCGCCTCCGATGTCGCGCCCTCTCCCAGCTCCTCTCATCGTCCCCCTCCGCCTCTCCCATCTCCCACCTCCTCGGCTACCACAGCCGCCTCCTCTCAGCGGCCGCGCCCGTCGTCTCCCCGAACCCTAGCTTCGCCGTCGAGGAGTACCTCGTCTCCACCTGCGGCCTCGCCCGAGCGCAGGCCTTCAAGGCCTCCGTCAAGCTCTCCCACCTCAAGTCCCCCTCCAACCCCGACGCCGTCCTCGCCTTCCTCGCCGGCCTCGGCCTCTCCGGCGCCGATGTGGCCGCCCTGGTCGCCAGGAACCCCCAGGTGCTCTGCGCCGGCGTGGAGAGGACCCTGGCCCCCAACGTCGCCGCGCTCACCGGCCTCGGCCTCTCGCGCTCCGACATCGCGCGCCTCGTCTCGGTTGCCGGCAACCACTTCTGCTGTAGATCCATCGTCGCCAATATACAGTACTGCCTGTGCCTGCTCGGGTCCTACGAGAATCTCCTCTCTGCTATCAAGCGCAATTTCTACATTCTCTCGTCCGACCTTGAGAGAGTGATCAAGCCCAATGTCGCAGTCCTGCGAGAGTTTGGGCTTGGTCCTTGTGATATTGCCAAGCTGTGTGCCTCTCAGCCATGGTTGCTCACCTGCAACGTAGAGCGTATCCGGGCGATGGCGGTGAGCGTCCAAGGTCTGGGTGTGCCCCGTGGATCTGGGATGTTTAGGCATGCGCTGGATGCTGTTGCATTCGTCAGCAAGGAGAAAATCGCCGCCAAAGTGGAGCACCTGAAGAAAACATTCAGGTGGTCGGATGCTGAGGTGGGCATTGCTGTTTGTAAGGCTCCACAGGTACTGCACAGGTCCAAGGAATCGCTGCAGAGAAGGTCAGAGTTCCTCATCTCCGATTTGGGGTTGGAACCCGCATACATTGCTCGTCGCTCGGTGATGCTCTTGTACAGCCTGGAGGGCCGGCTAAGGCCCCGGAGCTACGTCGTTAAGTTTCTTAAGGCAAATGGATTGCTAGATCCCGACCGGGACTTGTATACCGCAGTCACACTGAGTGAGAAGGTATTCATGGAGAAGTTCATATGCCCTCACAAGGAAGCTGCACCCCACCTTGCTGAAGATTATGCAGCAGCTTGCAGAGGGGAATTGATGGCTAATTTCAGATTTACATGAAGCAAGGCTGGGTTTTATGAAAATCGGTAACTGTGTATGGCATGACAGAGTTTGTAGCATTCCTAGTAAGTTGGTAATTCACATTAGTATTTTTTTCCCCCTGAATAGAGATTGGTTTTCCGCTGTAGTATGTCTTCCACATGGTGGATTGGTCGCTGCTACTGACTAACGAAATTGATAATTTAATTCATGAACCCCGTGGTGTTGATGTAATGATGTTGACATTAAGTACTCCCTCTTATATTAGTTTACTGGGGGAATAGATATGAAAGCATCGCCTATACAATCTCAGACAATTAAAGTCCATGAATATTTTGTGTTTCCGACTTCCATTAGGATAATGGAAATTGAATATGTGGGTAGACCAATTTCCTTGTGAAACCAGAACCCAGAGAACAAGAAAGGATGAGAACTGTATTGCATCATTTTCCAGTAAATATATCATATGAGTTGCTTTCATTCAATTTTTTGTTTCCATTCCATTTCTATCCTTTTGTTTTTCATCATTTACAGTTATTTTTTTTATATCTAGGTGTCTATTGGGTGTCTTATGCCTTTTGATTTTTTTCCCCATTATCCTACTAAGATTGAATATCTTTTTTCCTAAATCCTGTACCTGATTTTACTTCTGCTGAGAAAAATTTCAAACTTGATAAGGTAATCTATTTGGGACTAAAGCATGATCAACAATGAATTAGTCTCATCATTTACATCTATCATAGCTTATCAGAACTAGAGGGCCTGCTCAGGCCCTGATACTATGCTGTAAAGTTTGTCAAGGAAATTGATTGCTCAAGCGCATGGTGACCAATAAGGTTTTCATTGAAAATTTTCATATGCCCTCACAAGGAAGCTGCCACGCACCTCGATAAAGAATGTGCTGTTGCTTGCAGAGGAAATGCTATCTAATTTCTTTTTTTTCTTGGAATACATTTTTTTCTAGGAATTTGATCTCAAAACTGAGAAATGCGCTAGTAGCGTTTCCATTGGCGCTAGCTGTTTCTGTTATGAAAAATACTTGGCTGTTCCATGGATACTCAGAATCTTGTGCCATTCCTGTTTGCACACAGGCTGTACTTGTTGAACAGGGGATGTTTACATGGAGATATTGGTTTAGTCTAATCCACCCAAACTCGGTCTTCAATTTACTGAATTTAGGTGTTGCTTTCTTTCTACCGGGAGAAGATGTTGGATGCATGCAGACGCGAACCGCCTGAATGATGATGCAGAGGATCGGCCTCGCTCCGGAGCGCACGCACTGCAAACGCATGCTGCAGTCAGATTCCAATGTCATTGATCTCTGCAATGGGATTTTTTGTGGGAATCCATTGACATCATTCATCGCTACATTGAAGACAATCTTGGTGCTGTAAAACAATCTTGTTCCACCCAGCATTTCTTGGTCTGTGGCGGGCTCAAATCTTGAGCCTCTTTTTCATCTGAAAGACACCCAGCATTTCAGAAGATACATACACCTACAGTTTCAGCAGTGAAGTTCTGTTTCCAATTGCAATAAGGTTGGTTACTTATCAGCTGAGTGCAGCAGTGGAGATTGACCGGTGTTGAATTCGCCGCGGGCTCCGTGACCTCGACCTCGACCGGACCGACGGACGGACGGAAGGCGCTTTGAAATCGTTGCTCTGGCGCTGTATATATATTACATGCAGTCCTATGTTTTTTTTATTTCTACCTTTATTTGGGTGAGCATCATCAGGTTTAATAAGTGGCTGATTATGCACCATCACCATGCCTCAAGCCCACTTGGCAAGAAATGAAAAGGAAGGAAAGAGCTCTTGTTTAATTCGCTGCTAATGCCTAATGAAATTGACAGTTTAATTCGTGAACCCCGTGGTGTTGATGTAATTATGTTCTTGTTAAGTAGCCGCGAAAGCAGCGCCTGCAATCTCTGGAATCGAGAGTCCATGAATATATTTGTGTTTCTGACTTCCATTTTTAGGATAATGGAAATTGAATATGTGGGTAGACCAATTTTCTTGTGAAACCAGAACCCAGAGAATCAGAAAGGATGAGAACTGTATTGCATCGTTTTCCAGTAAATATATCACATGAGTTGCTTTCATCCAAATTTTTATTTCAAAGATTTAATATCTTTGTTCCTAAATCCTGTACCTGATTTTACTTTTCAAATGATCAACAATGAATTAGTCTCGTCATTTACATCTGTCACAGTTTGTCAGAACTAGAGGGCCTACTCAGGCCCTGATACTATGCTGTAAAGTTTCTCGAGGAAATTGATTGCTCAAGCGCATGGTGACCAATAAGGTTTTCATTGAAAATTTTCATATGCCCTCACAAGGAAGCTGCCCCGCACCTCGATAAAGAATATGCTGCTGCTTGCAGAGGGAAATGCTATCTAACTTCTTTTTTTTTTCTTGGAATACATTTTTTTTCTAGGAATTTGATCTCAAAACTGAAAAAATGTGCTAGTAGCATTTCCATTGGCGCTAGCTGTTTCTGTTATGAAAAAAAATACTTGGCTGTTCCACTGGATGGAGCCTCTTTTTCATCTGAAAGACACCCAGCATTTCTGAAGATGCATACACCTACAGTTTCATCAGTGAAGTTCTGTTTCCAATTGCGATAAGGTTTGGTTACTTATCAGCTGATTACACACACACACACCTAGTGGAGATTGACCGGTGTTGAATCCGCTGCCGGCTCCATGACCTCGACCGGACCGATGTTTTTTTTTTTCCTTCTTCCTTTATTTAGGCAAGCAACATCAGGTTTAACAAGTGGCTAATTATGTGTCATCACCATGCCTCGAGCTCACTTGGCAAAAAAAAATGAAAAGAAAGGAAAGCGCCGTTTGATTGTGGGCAATGTGGTTTCAATTTTGTTCGTCCTTCCCGGCCCTCTCTTACTAGGGAAAAGCGTATCAGGTTTAACAAGTGGCTAATTATCTTCCATTCTCCCTTTTCCTAGAATGTATCCTGAGACTGAATTGATGCTCAATCTCAGGTCGTCTTCTTTGCAATCACGACGAAAAATAAAGAAAGATATGACTAATCGAAATATTGTCAGCCACTCTTTTTTTTTTTGAGAAAAGAGAAAAGACGGGGCATCCGAAAGAAAAGAGTGCAAGCCCAGGGCCCATTTCACGCAGACGAAAAGCCCAGCCCAATTGTATATGTCTGTCAGCCAATGTGAGAGAGACTGACCCACGGCTTCCCCCAGCTCCCTCCCTCCCCTCGCCGCCGGCGCCGCCATGCTCCGGCGCCGAGGCCGCGTCCTCATCCGGAAGCTCTCCACTCCCTCCGCCGCCACCACCTCCCCTCTCCACCGCATCATATGCGCCGCCGCCCCACCACAGGCACACGCTCGGAGCTGCATCCTCTCCTCTCTCCGCCGCCTCATCTCCGGCGCCACAGCCCCCGGCATCTCCCCGACCTCTGGGTTCGCCGTGGAGGAGTACCTTGTCGACACCTGCGGCCTCACCCGACCCCAGGCACTGAAGGCTTCCCCCAAGCTGTCCCACCTCAGGTCCGCCGCCAACCCCGACGCCGTGCTCGCCTTCCTCGCCGGCCGCGGCCTCTCCGGCGCCGACGTCGCCGCCCTCGTCGCCAAGGACCCCAAGTTCCTCTGCACCAAGGTCGACAAGGGCCTGTCCCCCATCGTCACGGGGCTCTCCGGCCTCGGCCTGTCAGATCCCGACATGGCGCGCCTCCTCTCGCTCGCCCCACACAAATTCCGCTGCAGATCCATCGTCGCCAAGCTGCACTACTACCTGCCCCTCTTTGGCGGCTCCTCGGAGAAGCTGCTCCGGGCCATCAACTTCAACACCAACCTCCTCTGCTGCAAGAGGAGGGTGGAGCTCAACGTCGCCTTCCTGCGCGAGTGCGGGCTGGGTGATCCCGACATTGCCAAGCTGTGCAGCTCGATACCGAGGATGGTCACCACCAACCTGGAGCGTGTCCAGACAATGGTGGCGTTGACCGAAGGCCTCGGCGTGTCCCGGGGGTCCGGGATGTTCAGGCATGCTCTCAGTGCCGTCGCGTTCCTCGACGAGAAGAAGATCGCGGCCAAAGTGGATCACCTGAAGAAGACGCTAGGGTGGTCGGATGTCGAGGTGAGCATTGCTCTGCCTAAGGCCCCGTTTTTGCTCGCCAAGTCGAATGAATCGCTGCAGCACGGGTCCGAGTTCCTCATCTCTGAGGTGGGGTTGAAACCGGCGTACATTGCTCGTCGGCCGGTACTGCTCTGTTACAGCCTAGAGGGCCGGATGAGACCTCGGTACTACGTTGTGAAGTTTCTCAAGGAAAATGGATTGCTCAAGCGTGACCCCAGCTACTATACTGTTTTCAAGGAGACCGAGAAGTATTTCGTGGAGAAGTTCATATGCCCTCACAAGGAAGCTGCACCACACCTTGCTGAAGATTATGCTGCCGCTTGCGGAGGGGAAGTGCCCGCTAGATTTAGATTTACAGGTCTAACAACATGAACCAAGAATTCTGAGTAATATATGTAGAATCGTGATGTAGTTCTGAAGCCAGCTATGTGTTGGTCATTATTTTGTAATGGAGAACAACATACATGTTTTCTGAAGATTTATCTGGCTTTCCAAAATCTATCCTTTGATTATGTACTGATTTCTCCTTTGTGCCATGCTAATCAGAAGATTACTTTATATGTTGAGCTTTTACTTCATAATCTTCATGGGAAGTTCACTGCTTCATAAATATTCAGAAATATTTTTTATTGCCATTTTTTGAATTACAGTTCACGTCATGGTTATCTTGACTTTCAGGATAGTTGGTTGCGGCATCAGAGAAAGGTAGGTCACAAGCTGTAGGTGCATGCCAACTTCAAAGGTTAGAGACCCCAGATCTGGGAGAGGCAGTGCTGATTGAGGGGGGGGGGGCAGCTGCAAGACGTGACGACCCAACGACCTGGAACATCGACGCTTAAGCTTTGGTATGAGATATATGGGATTTTGTCAAGCCGGTCTTCCAAAACTGAAAGGAATTTTCTGTCTATGA